ATTCACCGGAATCCGAGGAGATTGCCTCGAAAACAGCGGCATCAAGAATGTTCCAGTATAGATAATCAACACTTTCAATCAAAATGGAGTTGAGTCTACAAATTACAAACCATTAGAATTCCCCAAACCTAACTTTTCTTCGTATAATGTGATTTTACTGAAAAAAAACAAGAAATGAACCATCAATATTAGCTCCGATTAATTGGAAGATAGTGTACTATCATTCTTCTGCAATCAGAATTCAATGGACCTATTTTTAATTTATGAGAAATTCGAAACCCCATTTTCTTCCTTATTTTTAGTCAGGAAAATTCTTACACCGATTGAGTAATTCTGATTTAGTTGATGAGATTTATGTACGAAATCAGAACTGAAGAAATCATATCAATAATATTAAGTCTTCAGATGAGCAGAATTGTTGAAATGCCTTGTTCTTTGAATAGAACTTAAATCAGCCCAAGTCACTTGAAAGATTGTAAGATGCATAGTCGAAATTTGTTCCACATTGCTGTAAGCCGATCAAACAATCATATCTCAATTTATTTTGCTTTGCCGCTCATAAGAAATTCACATCCCCAATAGAATTCGACACCTATCAGTCATCATCGTAGAGGCATTACCATTCTGCCATAAAGCCATGTAAAGCAATTGGGTTACAGGGCAGGGGTGACTTTCATGGAAAGCTTTGCATCTCAAAATTTCGATTAAGTATACATGTATTTTCCATGACAATTGACAATATTACTCATTGTTAGCATGGGCATACTACAAAACTATCAGTAATTCTAGAATATCCTTGCGGAAAAGTTCCTCTGGCACTCCTTAACTCACCCTAAATGATCCATGAAGAATAATTTACTATTCAAGCATTACTAATAGCCTTGAAAGGTACCCATTAGACTTCATTTTATCTTGGTTCAACTCTTGCCTTATCCTTAAATCTTCCAACCAAGAACAACATTTTTTTAATTTTCTCGTTATGTCTATTGCCTTGACTTATTGTGCGCTTAACCGCAGCCATATTGCAATCTACAAGCTCTTTATTATGACGCCATTCTATGCAAGGCAATCTTTCTGTCATTTGCTTGGCCATTTATGAGCTCTGGCAACAACAGCCTCTGAATAATTTTTGTATTCCTCCCCATCCCTTAGGTCTTGCGAAGAAATCTCCTTCAGCCTATGGAAGACCATATAAATACTTCGGTCTTCTAGCAGCCTGAATTGTAAAACAAGTCAACTTTATCTCTAAAGGGAGATAAAGAATTAACCGGGAATGGAGTTTGCTTGCTTTGAATCGCCTAAACCTTTAAAATAGTGATTTGTTTCCTAAACTTCATTCGTCACATCACTGAAGCTTCTGTTCAATTTTGATGTGAAGAATCAACTACTGCTGGAAAAGTGACCCCAGTTGCTCGTCCTGAAAACATTCAATGAGGGTCATTGAGTTTGTACCATATATTTAAAACGTTTGCGAAACAACTGACTCAAGTACTGCTTATCTGATCTGCGATTGCAAGAAGAATTCTAAATAAGTACTCGGAAAAGTTGGAGCAACACCCGTGCACACTCAAACCTTTTTCGTGGATTGGAAATGAGAGCTTAACCGAGACTTTAAAAGTAGGAAAGTAAACTTAAAGTATGATCTTAAGTGAATTTCATGGTGATAATTTAAAATGACATGCAGTTCAATACCTTTTCCTGGTCATTTTCACAAGACCAGGTGTATAAATTAAACTTTCTGACTTTATCCCTAACTTTTCACACTATAAAACTCATTTTGCCCGTGCCTAAAGATTACGATAATTCATTTCAGACAGAGGAAATTAGAGCACATGAACACTTTATTTGGCCACACTATCGCAATACCCTTGTATAAATGAGCCAAGATGCAAGCTCGATAGTATTACTGAAATGTAGCCATAGATCGAAACGCAGAGCTGAGGAAATTTGATGTACCTATTCCATAATATTTTAAATAAATCGTCATGTGTTCTGAGATTTCCTTTATTTCTATTGTCATCAATAGTGGAGATACAACACACAATGATTAATATTCAGTTGATTGTGATACTATTTTTTATATTTTTGCCTTGGATGCTATTTAATTTTATTTAATAAATGCAAGTTCAGCTAGGCTGCAGATTACTTTAAACTTAGGTAGTAATCTTTTGTAAAATGTAAAGGGTGAATATGATATTGCAGTTATACTATCTACGAGCATCTCGTCAACATCACATCAGGTATGAGAAAGCTGAATATCTTCCACCAATTTTAACCAAAACAACCCGCGAGCTTTGAACATTGATGTGTATACGATGCTATTGATTGTTTATTAACTAAAGAGTCTTACATAAAATAATCTAAGTTACTGAAATTATTATTTAGTGTCTTTTGGTACTACCGGTAGATCTTGAATACTAAACTTCTCTATATGAATATCAGTGATCTATACGAGCATAATCGCAAATACAAGATTACTTCAACTAAGATCCGAAAATAAAATCCCGTCTAGAAGACCAACTCCCGATGCATAATGGGCACGCGGAACAGGCTGATTTGGATTCGAGCTAGGCCTGTATGCTGATTGTTGCTGGACAAGGTTGCTCGTTTGCTGCTCCGTCTTGTTTCCAGTCGCCAGGGTCAGCTCGACCATACAACAGCCAGTCTGTACCGACGGGCGGATCACAGGCAACGAAACCGGATCAGATGTCTTGCAGTGCACTGATTTGCCGATAACAGCCATCCGATTGTGTCGTACGCATAAAGGGAGGCTGCAACATTTGTTCGCGAGCTTGCTCGAAAAGTGCATGTTTCCACCATCTTAGTGAGGCCTTTGGTGCGCGTATTAATCGACCTTGGCTTGCTCGTTCATTTTGACCCAAATCATATTTATCACATCATTTGTTTGTTTTCAAAACCCTGGGCACTAATGATCGATAGACAACATGCAAACTCATACTCATTGGCGTTGGTGCAATAATCCCCCACTTCAGCATATCAATTAACAGCCACAAAATTACACCATAAGATGGACAATTTTTTCATTTAATCAGGATATACCATAAAGGAAAGTCATTCGTATCTGATTCGTTAACTCTACATATTGATCTAAATTAGTTAATTTCTGATTACAATTATAGTCATCCTCAATGGAAAAAATTGCCTTAATGTTGCCATTAGATTTTACTTAATCTTGCCGCGAAGGCGCTTTTCTCCTCAAGATTGATCTTGGCACAATTTTTACCTTCTCTTGAATCGTATTAACTACTCTAACGGGATTCGAAACCGGGTTGTGCGTATAAAGAGACGACACTTTACTATTCTACCACAACCACAGAGTGCACTGGGTCCAAGGCAGATGTGACCTTTTTTATTCTATACTGGAATTGTCGACTAGGCTAACTTGTATTTGTCGTTAAATTAGGCGATGGCACTTATATTTAGTGCATTTGAAGGCCAAGTGAAATTCGATGGCATTAGGAGCTCTATTCACATAATAAAAGTAAATTATTTAAATCGCCCTCAGAGACCTGGATCGACTTAGTCAAAATTTGCATATAGTCTCGAAATAGGCTGGACTAGAATAAATTTAGAGTCGGTTTGACCTCGTTTTCGTAATTTGGTCGGGGCAACATAGAGACCTTGTGGAACATGTCTCATCCTGTATCCTCTGCCATAGTGTTCATGAGTGTACTCAGGATAGGATCGTTAACTTGGTACATTCCCATACGTTTCACTGACATCGTAGTCAGGATCGTCAGTGAGAGGCTTCATCGCTAGCACAGAGTTACGGCATAGCAAAGTGACAAATGAGAGCTATCAACCATTTCAATCGCTTGTTCAAACGAAATGAAAGGTAGGCCAACATCAATCAACAGTTCAATCATTATGGCATCACTCCTCCCATCTTAGTGCTAGCTTCTAGTGCTGCATTCCTTTCTTTCAATTTAAATTCATATGGCCCATTTACCTATTCCCACCATATCGTGGTCTTGTGTCCCCCAATGTCACCTAAGGCTATGACACTTCAAGTAGATTAAGTAAAGCATAATCACATTTACCTCCGATTTCAGATAAAGGGCTAGACATAGATGAAGGTATTTCGTTCTGAGGAAAATAAAAAAGACGGCTGTTGAAAAAAATCGCCTGCAGAAATAGGCCTTAACTTTCAATCTCGCCATACGGAATAAATCTTGGGAAACTAAGCCGTATGGTAATTAGAAGCCTCGGACTCACTGATCTTAGGTTCTAAGAAG